TTCACTGCCTACACTTTAGTCAGCAAATTACTTAGCAAATCAGGTTCATCCATCTGTATCAGAAAAAGTTGGTCTCCTTTAATGGCTGAATCCAGTTTTATAACAAAGATCTTTATTAATAAAGCAAGTCTGACTCTACACATCTGTTTGTCATTCTTACTGTTTACTTACTGAAAAATCTTTCACCATCCTCTTCCCAAAAGAGGTTTTGGCCCCAAGAAATAATGTTTTTTAAAAAATACCATCATAGCACATGCAATCATTATTTCCAGCTTTCCCAGACAGTGCACACCCCTTGCAACCTTTGCTCTAGCTATAAAACTACTTGTTTTACAATATTGTCTACTGATTGTATTACATTAAAGTTACAGTTACACCCACTACTGTGTATATTTTCATACTTACTCTTTTAGGTTATCATAAGCTTCTTCCAGGCGTGCCTTTTCTTTACTAGTACTTAATAACTGTATCTCCCTCTTCTCCAGTTTCTCAGTTAATGAATCAATCATCTGGACAATGTTTTTACAGATAAAGATCAGATGAATGGAACAATTAAAACACAAGAGGGACAGGCTTCCCCTTCCCCCCCCATTCCCTCCCCACACTATTTAAAGCTGAACTTGTCAATGTTTTTAGGAATTTGAGGTAGAAGTCAGTAAAGAGTACCATGTTTCTGACACATTCATTTAGAACTAAGCAATATCTAAACACAAGACACCTCTTTTCTCCAGGTGTAGAAATCCGACCAAGTAAGCACATGTGGCTCATCTAAGTTCCTCAACAAAATCATAGCCAGTTATATTTAATTATAAATGAAGTTTTTGAACAGAGCTGATAAAACTACATAAACTATAAAACTACACCTAACATTAACCATTAAGACTCCCAGTGCTCCTTATACCACTCTTTACGGAATCACAGAATAATTTACATTGGAAGGTCTCTTCTGTGAAATGTTAGCACAAAGCAGCAAAACAGAATCAGATGAGGGAAGCAAACTTCCAGGCAGGATCAAAAGCTCTTAGCTCACATCATCAAAATAATTTCTTAATATCAGATTTTGGAAAGCTAAATACAGAGAAAAAACACAAACATGCATGCAAATATACATGTGTAAACAAATGAAACAGATTCTACAAATGGAGCTCAATATGGCCAATGAAAGACAAAATTTGCTGTAGTCCATCATCACTACCTCCCACAATGTGTAACCATTTACGTTAGGAAAACATACAGATGACAGGTCATGACTATGGAGTCCCTCAAGGAATTTACACTGGCATTCTGTACAATTTACACAAATAAATGCCTTCCTTAAAACACAGATTACATTGTGGTTTTACGAATTCCCATAAGCAACTGCTCATCAGTATTAAACATGCCTACAGGGCAAGGACCCGGCTACGCCACAGAGACTACGAGCAATGCAAAATGCAAAGAAACAGAGCAAAACACATGCCAAAGGAGCTCAGAAATTAAAAACAGGAATAGAGGGACAGGAAGGTGACAAAGGAAATGGAAAAAAGATCGCGCACACAATACTCCGGCAGAACTGGACAAAACACTGCTTCAAAGCTCCAGGTTAGCCTTTCACGCACTTGAGTATCTTACTTCACCATGTTTCTAGTAATTTCATTTATTTAAGCTAGCCATCCAAATTTCTTTTAATCTATTCACTATCCATAACTAGGCTTATGTTCTTCATTAAAAAAACCCTTCTTTCTAAAAGTAAAGATTATTTCTGCTAAAAACAGACATGAATTTACCCAGTAAAAAGGACTTATTTACACTAACTACTACTATCGTCAAAGAACATGAATAACGCTCCTGCAATGTAAACAAATTTTGAGTTTGTAATTCTGTGGAAAAACACGCTTGCAAATACTATCTTGACTAACGATGAAATATTAAAGGTTTGTGGTTCTGTAATTCAAATTAAAATACTTCAAGGACTCTCTTCCACCTCTCACAGAAAAAAAAAATTACACCAAAGAATTAAAATAACACATTTGACTTATCAAGGCTTCCTGTTTGCTAGCACTACTCACAATTCATAGCAATAGTAACTAGGTGGATTAGGTGAAACCCCAAACTTTTGGGGCAGAAATTTCACCAGTATTCTTCCACTGCAGAATATCAAGGGCAGTTTTCTACAAGGTAAGGTAGTTCAGCATCAATTAATTCATTCAAATAAGGTGAAGCTAATACCTATATAAGGAGATGACAGGAGTTTCATTTGTAATTAAAGGGTGTGTTTGCAAAAAACGTCTTACAGTTACCTTTTTAAACTCTTGCTTTTCAGTGTCCTCTTCTAACAGATTTTCAACAGTATCCTGCTGCGGCTCAGTCTCTTCTTTCACAATCTGTTCTTCAACAGCTTGCACAGTAGCAACCAAAACATCTGGCTGCTCAGAATTAACAGGAGTCGCGCTTCTCCCACTCTCTTCCATCTCAGCTTCCTCAGCATGTGAAACAGGAGCGTCATTCAAGTTTTCAGATTTATTTTTCAGTGCATCAACCGTTTCCGTCTTTGGCGCAGAAGGACTGACAGCAACAGATGCTGAAGCAGAAGCCCTGCCTGATAACTCATCATCTGAATTTATTTCGCTTACACTTCTACTATCTAAAGACTGTACACTAAAGGAATCAATTCTTTCAAAAGCATCAGAGGAGCAGCAGCTCTCTGTCATTTTTTGAAAGTCATCTAAACGATTATAATCTGCACAGGCAGACGTAGATAAAAGCTGAAATGATGTCTGCATTAGATGAAGACTGGATTTTGAATCCGCAGCTTCTTGTCTGGAACTTACTGAGCTCTCGCTTATTACACTTTCATGGTCCAGAACTTCAATGTCACTAGTTGTGGATGTCCCCGAAGAGAAAGTGCTAATTGGAGGTGATGGTGTATTGCTTTGCCTGTCCTCAGTCTTTCTCTCCTTTGTTTCCAAACCCATGTCTTTTGTACCTGCATTAAGAGGCTGCGAAGTGCTATCCGGTGCACCTCCCGCTCCATCCCCTCCTACACTGGGTTTTTCATTAAGAGCATCTTCAGGTGCTTCCAAATTCAGAGCAGACACCTTTTTGTCAGTAACTTCATTTGTGCTTTCTTCAGGCTTGGCATTAGATCTAAGCGCAGAATTCTCTTCCAATTTCTCCTTGGGAATATCGAAGTTTTTCAGGTCCACCAGGCCAGCTACAGAGGAATCCTTCACTTCTGCCTCAGTTGTCACTGGTACTTCTAGCTGACTGGGGTGCTGAGACTCCTTTAAGGTGCTTTTCACCTCCTCTTTGGGTCGCTGTGATTTGGCTGGAGGTTTGGATACCACTGGATTTTTCTGTATACTCTGAACATCCGTCGGAGAGAGGAAGGCACTGAAGAAGTTTTCAGATTCATCTACTACTGTCCTCCTCACTGGCTTAGTGATTGCTGTTGGTGATACCGGCTGATTCTGTGGTTCCGTATTTGAAGTTAAGCCCCAGGAAGATGTATCCCATCCTCCACTTATGAGAGAATTTGTTCCTAAAACAATAAAAAAAAGAGATAGGCCAAGAACACTTAAAATGTATTATTTTTCAGTATTTGTCTTTTTAGATACAACAGTTCAGAAAAAAATGTTTTCAATGTTGTAGAACTTAATATAATCTGCACAGGCAGACGTAGATAAAAGCTGAAATGATGTCTGCATTAGATGAAGACTGGATTTTGAATCCGCAGCTTCTTGTCTGGAACTTACTGAGCTCTCGCTTATTACACTTTCATGGTCCAGAACTTCAATGTCACTAGTTGTGGATGTCCCCGAAGAGAAAGTGCTAATTGGAGGTGATGGTGTATTGCTTTGCCTGTCCTCAGTCTTTCTCTCCTTTGTTTCCAAACCCATGTCTTTTGTACCTGCATTAAGAGGCTGCGAAGTGCTATCCGGTGCACCTCCCGCTCCATCCCCTCCTACACTGGGTTTTTCATTAAGAGCATCTTCAGGTGCTTCCAAATTCAGAGCAGACACCTTTTTGTCAGTAACTTCATTTGTGCTTTCTTCAGGCTTGGCATTAGATCTAAGCGCAGAATTCTCTTCCAATTTCTCCTTGGGAATATCGAAGTTTTTCAGGTCCACCAGGCCAGCTACAGAGGAATCCTTCACTTCTGCCTCAGTTGTCACTGGTACTTCTAGCTGACTGGGGTGCTGAGACTCCTTTAAGGTGCTTTTCACCTCCTCTTTGGGTCGCTGTGATTTGGCTGGAGGTTTGGATACCACTGGATTTTTCTGTATACTCTGAACATCCGTCGGAGAGAGGAAGGCACTGAAGAAGTTTTCAGATTCATCTACTACTGTCCTCCTCACTGGCTTAGTGATTGCTGTTGGTGATACCGGCTGATTCTGTGGTTCCGTATTTGAAGTTAAGCCCCAGGAAGATGTATCCCATCCTCCACTTATGAGAGAATTTGTTCCTAAAACAATAAAAAAAAAGAGATAGGCCAAGAACACTTAAAATGTATTATTTTTCAGTATTTGTCTTTTTAGATACAACAGTTCAGAAAAAAATGTTTTCAATGTTGTAGAACTTAAAGCAAATATTATACATGATCAGGAACAGCATCATGGTTGTTACTACTTCCTTTCAAAGTTTGGAACTGATTTTTACACAAAGCAAAAGGAGCGTAAGAGAGACATGAAGTAATTCTAAGACTTAAGGTGGACAGAGACACCTCTAGAAAGTAGGAATACCTGAATGGAACCAACTTGCTCCCTTCCTGTTAAACAGTAACTTCAGGGCAAGTCTGAAGCCTCTTGGGGCACAAAAAGCAAGCATTTTCCTTTGGGAAGGGAACAAGGGGAAGGGAATGTGGCCTCCTGCTTCCCATAGTGAGAGGAATCTGAAAAACTGTAGTTTAAAAGTAGAGAATTATACAGATCACAAAAGGAGGAAACAGTTACTAGGTCTTAAAAGTTATCTCCCAGTAGAACAGACAAATGCTTCACACGCCATTACAGGAAACAGGGGAAGAAACCTTTACGTATTTGTAGAATTTACACTACAAGAAGGGTTCTTGCCCCTTCAGTTTGTGACAGGCTGCGTACTTCTCCTCTCACACCAAGGAACAGCCAGAAGCTGACAATGCACATTGTCTGCAGCCCAGCTACGATGAGAGTTCTCTTCTCCTGGGGAGAAACACTGAACTGATTAGCTCTGAAGCTGCCCTAAAACAAAGGTAACAGTCGCTACTGTTATATTTCATGCAGGTTTTCCAGGACTTGTCAACAGCACGGATAGTGAGAATTTCATCACCAAATTTCAGTAGCATCCCAAGTAAGAAAGATAAATCCAAAAATAATACCCAATTTGATTTTGTACCTACAGACGTAATCTGAAGAACATAACTATTTCAGGCTACTTAAAAGCAACCTTACTTTATACTGCAGCACCTATTAAAAAACACTGAGTTATAAATATTTAAAGCAGACTACCACTTTCAGAAACTGTTGATATCTATTGGCCCGAACATCCAAAATTCAGATAATTACTGCTCTCATGGCCAAAAATATGACAAACACCTGATTTATTACTACTGTGTCCATCATTCAACAGCTTCAGAACAAGCCCTGGGAATGAACTGTAACATTCAGAAAATATTTTGACTTCTTTTAAAAACAAATATGTTTCCCCTGAAAAACAGATGCAGGCTGGTCTTTGCTGCTTTCCTTATGAGTTACAGAACTACTATAAATACTAAGATATAAGTTAAATTAAAAACAAAACCCACTGTGGACACGTTTAAAGTTTTAAGAACCTAAGCACAAGAGAGTCTTCTATAAACAATTCCTGTAATTTAAGAGGACACTGGACTAAGTGAGTGACTCCCGAGCCCCGGCTCCCACAAAGGGCCGAAGACATGCAAAACAGAAAACACTTTCAATCGTTACAGCTTTTGATTTTCAGAAACGTAACTCTGCCCGGAAATAACCTCCTACTACAAACACACACGGTTCTTCCAGAGGTAGCTGCAGTAAGGACACCGATTCCAGGTGACTTAGTATCTCCGCCTTTTCCCCTCTCGTTCTGATCTTGAAGGTATTATTTATGGGGAAAAAAGTTTCTAATGACAGGGCTCCTTTTTGCACTTTCATTTCCAAACTAGGACTGATCATTCTTTCAGGTGCTACCTTAGCAGACGTACAAAGGAGACACTTCCTCATAACCAAGCCGTGACAATTTTTCCACCGACACGTTCCTTTCAACAGACGGAGGATTATGCACCGAACGCCACAAAAAGTGGAAACTTCCCTTGGCTCATGTGGACCAGACTTCCAGCTTCTACTCTGCTCTTCCTGTCACAAAAAGCGAATCCACGCGTGCCCCAGAAAGAGCATCATTTCCCCTTTTTTTTTTATTACCTGAGCTTTTTTGATCGCCTGTTACTCCCTCGGCAAAAAAAAAAAAAAAAAGAAAAAATAAATAACGCGTTGATAAGTTGGGGTACGAAGCGCAGCGCTGCCCGTGCAAGGGAAGGCCGACGCTGGTGACACCGAGCAGGCA